TTCACTCAGTCGGTATGTACCATTTCGAATCTTGTACTTAAATTCACGGAAAGTGAACGCTGCGGAAATGGTGACATATTTATGCTACGAACTGTGGACATGGAAAAACTATCTGCGCTACTTTTCTTACTTGAAAATGAGATGACGTTCCGCGGTCCAAAGCACGCATTTCTTGACACAGCTACAAATAAATTATGTTTAACTAAGAAAGAAGTAAATAAATGCGTAGTGAAATGTGCTGCTTGAGAGGAGTTGAAATACTTCGCATGAATTTAGAAAGATTTGAGCAAATTTCATCAAAAACTGAAAACAATAAATCTTGAAGCCCAGAATCTATGACTGGCTTCACACTTTGCTTGGAACCGTCCAACTACCTATAAAAGTAGAATCGATTCAGCAAAGAGGACGTTTTGCAGAAAAAGAGGGTATCGAAAGTTGGGTCAACTTGAAAGCAATGATCAGATACGTGTTTTGAGGGGATTTAATATTCAGGATACTTTTAGCTTTCATTGACAGCTCAGACGAAACATCTTCAATCAGGGCGTGTTCCCAGTGCTAACTTACGGATGCAAAACATGGACCCTATGACTGAAAGTTATGCACAAACTACAATCCGTGCAGCAAAACCTGCAAGCCTATATATTGGGAGAAATAACAAGATATAGGAAGATGAAAAATGATAGGAGTCCGCAATATCACCGCATGAGCGAAAAAGCTGAGATAGCAATGAGTATGACAATGTAACATGAACTCAAGAGACAAAACACAGGAATTGACCTCTTGGAAGACTTCCAGGTCGACGGCAAAAGGTGCTGGACAAGCGTTTTCGAATAACATAGATATGAATCGTGTAAATCAAAATTTTTGGGCAAAATCTTCGATGGGTCTTCATCCAGAAGTAGAATAGAAAAGACGGACAACCACTGACGGATTTCAAGGCTTTTGTTGAATACTTCTGGCATATTGTAAATTCAAGCCAAGATGCAACCATATCAGAAGCCAACGTGAAACCTATGGAGCGTTCACTTTAAGTTGGTCACCTCAAACTCTGCCAGACTACGGTCGTTTGCCTGGCTTTAGGAGGAATATCTCTCATATTTCTTTTCAGTTCAGTCCAATGGGTATAAACCACAGCTACTGCGTAAATTATCTTTACCTTTGAACAGACATATCGATTTCAACCCACTTCGAGCAAGCGCTTCATTATCTCAACAAGTATCGCGTTGTGTAGGGATATGTCGTTTAGACAAAACCACGTTTCCATTTGAGCCTTAGCAATCGATGTCTATATGTCTAACAGAAGATTGTTGCTACCATCGTGACTGAGAATAATAGTGCCCACCATCTTTGTAACTCGACGAGAATGTTGTTTTCTCGTAGCTAGTGCCAATTGAGTTAAGCTTTCAAACTAACATGATTATTGAAGAAAACCTGCGGCTTAGGACATACTGTAAGACCCGCATGTTTTTGCGGATGCTCCTATTCAAGAAGAATGGCCAGAGCAATCCGGAGGAGGCGTTGAATGCGATGTGTGGCGCGTCGATTGCGGGGGCGGCGATAAGGTGTATGTCGGAAAGACCTACTGTAATTTGCATATCAGATTAAAGACCACGTACCTACAGTCTACCTCGGCCAGGCTATCTATTCTGGAATTAAGTAACACGCCTTTCCTGAGGGATATACCTCAAGTCAAATGAAGGAGTTTGTAGTCGACATTGCCAGCCAACGGCTAGTCCGCTGATAAAAGAGTCTCTGAATATTTTAAAGAGGAAACACCTACAAAGAATAATTATTCTCTGATGCAATGAGGAACGTTGGGTAATATCGCCAACGTGACAAGAAACTTTGAAACGACTCAATTAGGGATTGAAATCAAACACTGTGTTTTAAGATTTTGAATGCGCTGGTCAAGATTTGATATAAATCTATCAATCACTTTAAATCGAAGTATGTAGTGTGTATAAAGAGGCTTGCTGCCTGTCATTGTGATGAGTGCCGTAAGGCTGCACTTACGTGGCGACGCTGCAGCGTGCTTAGCTAAACGCGTTGGCAATAGAATTTCAAATATCTTTGTTGTGTAGTAACCTCAATGATGAGTAGGCAAACAAGCTACAGAGTCTTAAAATCTGGTCCCAAAGCAGTAAATACGGAGAACAGGCGCTTGGAACTTCTTTTTCGAATATTATGAAATAAAGAAACGCACTGTTGGCTGTAATTAAACCAGCACAAATTCTTCTCTGAACAATCAAAAAGGCATGAGGCTCCCTCATACACTATTTAATAATCAAGCAGGGCAACTGTGCCATCTTGACTCTTCCATTTCGCTTTATTGCAACTTTCAATTTTATTTAGTCATAATTCTTTCTTAGAAGATTGTCGTTCTGAGAGGATGAACTAAATAAAATGCTGATTATTATCACCTTGTTAAAGTTTTGTTGCCTGTGATAAATGCTGAAAGCTACGCAAAGGGTTTAACATTTTGCAAACAACTGAATTTATTTTGACTTATGATTCCGTCCGTTCCATCGTCTCTCCTCACTCTTCATATATTCCCACAACATTGAATTCATTGAGAGCAGAAATTTTATACAGCAATTACGTAACATTAGCTGATGTTTTTTTTCCCTAATATTTTGCTTATTGGAAATATTGATAAAATTGTCACCGCGCAATACAGTAAAAGACTCTCTTTATACTGTCCAGTAGTGACATTGCAAAAAAGTCTCTTTTTTCCCTAGGCATATTCAGTTTAGCAAACTTCTGCAGCCGAATCGACTTCTTGCATGTTCTTTGAGCCATGGTCACGTCTTTCCTAACCTAGCACAATTACATACTGCGTATTTCAAAGTCGCATGACACTTTTTTCCTCGGATTCTATCAACATCTGAAACGCACTTTTGACATTTACCCAGGTAGTTACACCAGAGAAGCCTATTTTCGGTTAACTTCTTTGCTGGATGGGTCACTTTTCGTGTAGCACTGATGAAGACATTCGGAATATTAATCAGGGCGGGGTTCGGGTAGTGGCAGATTGATGAAGAGGTTAGTCTTGGATTCATAAGGTGGCTGGTTCGAATGCATAAAAGGGAAGATTTCCCTTAAACATGAAATCCTTTGAAGGAGGAATTTACCCCACATGACTTCAGTGCAACAGAATGAAAAACGAGTTGCAAGTTGCCTAATTGTGAATAGCATGGATTGCAATAGCATGTATTCTGGCGTGATCATTCCGTCATAGGTATGACGTACAATAATTTTTTTTCGATGCGAGCGCCCCCTTGTGGCTGTTTGACAAACCTAGTAACTAAGTATGAAATGTAATAATCAGCATCAGGTGAAGCCCCATTTTATTTTTTCATTTATAATTATTTCTGTAGATTTAGCCTGTGGGTGAATCCTGAAGTATCTTTCAATGTTATTGCGACATACTTAATATCCTTAGTCTTCCCTTGACGTTCTGAGATCTGAGCTTGAAATCTGAGCGACTGACTGCGTACCTGTTGATTAGCTTATAATCAAGATTGGTGGAACTCTGAGGAAGATACAGTAAAGTTT